GGCCACAAAAGATATGGTAAAGTCGCTGGAGCTTTCAGAACTGAGTCCTGTTATTTCTTTAAGCAAGTGAGCTGATGCGTTTGTACCGGTAAATTAAAATGTATTACACAACAGCAGGGATATTGCCGGAGTGCTTATCATTTTGTACATCACTCCGTTGATGGCGAATATTGCAATAACTCCACCAGGCGGTTTCGCGGCGAAGCCATAATTTTTCATTCAATATTCCCCGGCAAACATTTACACAATCCCTGCTCCTGTGCATACAAGACCTCCTGCCCCTGCTTAATTGTCAAGGGACGTCAAAAGCAACCTCTGCAGTTTATCTCCTTCTTTAGCAAAATTTATCTACTCCGCGCAGCAACACAATCAGCACTTTATTGCCCGATACCCTATAAGTGGTATTGCCGGTTACGAATAAGTGTATTACCTTAAATATTATACCGTCTGTCAACAATGTGAACCAGCAGCAAAAAAGGCCCTCCGCAAATCAGCAAACGGACACCCAGCAAAAGCGCAGCAATCAATTTCATTACCAGGAACAGTTAGGTATACCCATTGATCAATCATCTTTTCCATACTTTTTTTGCTTATGAAAACAGCATAATGCCGCAGCAGTCCAATACCCTTATTTTCAATTATACCACTTTTCTTAATTATTAAAACAGCATCATGAAAATGGCAACCCCTTCCTCCACATTTATTTTGTTACTATTAATTGCCTGCTGCTGTCAAAGCGCAGCCACAGCGCAGTCATCACCCGCCGACAGCATTGCGCGTCTTCAACTTTTTCAAACCATCCGGTCAGGAGATGCTGTCAAACTGGAATCGATGCTGCAGAACGGCGCCAATCCAAACGCTGTTATGGGTGACTATTCAGCATTGATGGCGGCAGCACTCAGCGGTACCGCGGAGGAGATGACGGTGCTGATCAATCACGGCGCCGATGTCAACTACGCTAATAAAGACGGTATATCTGCTATCTGGCTGGCAGTGCCCGACCGCGGCAAAACCACCCTGCTGATGGGCAAAGGCGCAAATGTGCAGCAACGGTCCCGCGAAGGCAACACAGTGCTGGTAAAACTGGCTTCCATACCGGGCAGTGCCGGCTTGCTGCAGTTATTGATTGCGGCAGGTTGCGACCCACAAAAGAGCGGGATTGCCAATGATATAATGTTTAACGCAGCTGCATCCGGCGATACTGCAGTTTTGGGCCTGCTTATCCGCCATGCTGTGAGTGTCAGCGACACCTGTTCTTTTGGGGATTATCCCATCAATGCCGCAACCAATTACCGCACATTTGAAACACTTAAAATGCTGGTAGAACATGGTGCTGCAGTGAATGTAAGCCCGGCACACGGCATTCTGCCATTATTTATTGGTATGACACCGTTGATGTGGGCAGCGGTCAGCAATGACAAACCATCGTTTTATTATTTGCTGGAACATGGGGCAGATGCCAAAGCCAAATCACCGGGTGGCTACAGCACACTGATGTTTTTAGCCATGGCTGATGCAGATGATCCCAAAATGACGCAGGCTTTGATAGACCATGGCGCATCACCGGCAGACAAAGCGCTTGATGAAACAGATGCACTGTACCATTTCAAATTACGCGGTAATACCCCCTCGGTTGAACTGCTTACAAAAACCCTTATAAAAAAATAATAAACCCGGCAAAATGAAAAATAAAATTCTTTTCGTATTCATCCTGATAACTGGTACTGGCCTGTTGCTTTCAACACTTATCAGCTGGAAAGCAGTAACAAAGCCTGTTGCGGACAAGGCAGTGCAGGCATCCGTTGTAAAAGCATTTTCAATACTGCAAACCACCGGCGCCACCTTTATCAGTAAAGCCAGGTGCGCCTCCTGTCATCATAGTACCATGACCTCCATGATTTCTGCTACACTGAAGAAAAAGGGTATCAGCATCCTTGATACCACTGCGGTATTGCGTGATATGGCCATGACGGGAACCCTGGATTTTGTGGGCAACCCCAATCTGAATAACCAGTTCGTTTCCGCGAAATTTCTCGCTCCCTACGTGCTGTTGGGCATGGACGCTGAGCAACATCCAGCTGATTTTACCACTGACATTGCAGTAAATTACATTATCAGCCAGGCGCTGCCGGATGGTAGTTTTAAAGCCGAATATGCAAGGGTGCCGCTGGAATGCGGGGATATTCACCTGACGGCGCTCTCTATACGTGCCATACAATTGTATGCGCCGAAGGCAACGTTTGCACATACGCAGGAATTGGTACTGCGTACAAAACAATGGCTGGAAAAACAGCATTCTCCGGATCAGCAGGAACTCAGTTTCCAGCTATTGGGCCTGCACTGGTGCGGTAGCAATAAAAACCTGCAGGCCGGCGTAGCGCAATCCATTATTGCGCTGCAAAATAAAGACGGTGGCTGGTCACAATTACCCAGCATGGCCAGCGATGCATATGCCACGGGGCAATCAATGTATGCGCTGATTTTATCGGGTGCCGCAGACAGCAGGTCGGAAGTTATTCAGAAAGGAATCCGTTACCTACTAGGCACACAGGACAAAACGGGTGCCTGGACGGTGGCCACACGCTCGAATCCCATACAGCCATTCATTAATTCCAACTTTCCCCCATACGACGATAACCAGTTTATTTCGGCGGCAGCTACCAATTGGGCTGCGCTTGCCCTGGCGGAAGCACTGCCGGATGCAAAATAATTCAGCGACGGGACTGCTGTGTATTTCAGGCATTGCAGTTACGCAAATTATATATACGGGCACATAAATACCTATTCATCTTTTATCAGCCGGCGGCAGGTAACCGGCTTTTAGAAACCACCTGCGCATACCTGCACAGTAAAATCTGCGGTGCAATACCGCATTTTTCCGAGGCCTATAACACCGGTTGTATGCGGTTTAATTCAGTGCTGTTGTAAAAATGTGGAATTTATTTCCCCAAAATCAACAAAGGACACTGCTATAAAGGCGTCACAGGCCATGGCATGATATTTATTTCTTCTCCTGTACAAGTTCACCTTAAAACAATTTACCATGTCAGCATCCAACGCCATTGATAAGAATATTCAGTTCCTGATTGATGTAAACTACCAGCGGATGGTATCATTTGAACAGGCGGCCTTTCTCACCAATGAAACTTCGTTCAAAGAATTCTACCTGGCAAAAGCAGAAGAAAGTGAAATCAATATCCAGCAGTTGTTTATCATCCTGAATATTAAACAGGAAGAATACAATGCACAACATGCAGCAAAGGCTGCAGATATTTACCTGGCGGAAATGTTTAACGGCAAAAAGAGTCCGGTACGTGTACTTGCTGCCATCAAAACATTTGAAAAAACCATTGCCAAATGGTACAAGAATACGCTGAAAGAGATCAACGACTTACCCAATGAATTGGTGGAACTGGTGAAGGGACAATACAGTTCCCTTACCAATACCCGTTTACAGCTGGAGACACTGTAATTGTAACTGCAACAACAAATATTGATGCGCCGGTTGAATACTACGGCACCCTGCAACAGCAGTGTGTTGTAGTATTTTTTTTACCGACCTGGAACAATAGCTCCGGAAAATGAAATCCATTACACAGGAAGCCGTTTTGCTTCAGCAGGTGTAAATATCTGCTGCAGCAGCTGAAACAGCGCGGGGTGTTTATGCTGCATCAGCTGGGGTTGTTCAAAAAAATATTCGGCTGCCACGGCAAGGAATTCCGCTTCATTGGTAGCACCATAAGGATCGATGTCTGATTTGCCGGCAGTAATTTGCTGTATTTCCTGATGCATATGACGCAACCAAGGCAACACATAAGGGTGAGGGAGTAAAGCAGCCGGTAATCCATCTGTATCTCCATCAGCCTTATCAATAAGGTGTACAAATTCGTGAATAGCCGTATTTGACTTGCCGGTGGAATTGATAAACCCATTTCTCAATTCCTGTTGAGATAATACCATTACATTTTGAAGGGCACCATTGCCTACCATTCCCAGTGTATCCCTTCCACTGCCTGATGTGCGGTAATCCTTATCAAACGTGCCGGGGTACAACAATACCTCATGAATATTATTGTATTGCCAGTTCTTAAATGCAAAAATCGGAATAACAGCCGCCGCTGCCACTAAAACCCTGTCTATATCGGTTACAGTTGTTTTAACACCTGTAACACGAACATTTTGTAAAAACAGCCGCAATGATTCCTCAAACCTGGTTTTCTCTCCAGCTGCCAAACGCCGGTAAAACGCTACATATTCCTCCAGCACCTGCCGCTCCTGTTCTGCTCCGGGTTGCGGCAACACAGTTTTTTTCCTCAATACAGCATATACAATACATGCTATGGTTAACAATGATATGGCAACGGTTACAACCTGCATATAGTGCAATGGTAAGACAGATTATTCATGCAATTGCATAAAACAGGCCGGAGAATGCAGGTGTTTTTCAGCCTGCGGCGGCGGCCGGCCGATTGTGTGGCAGGACAGCCTTTTCCGGCAGTGATTCCAA